GTCCCTATACCAAGAGACTGTTGTGAAGGGCATATTATGCACATGGTAACTGCTCAATAAATTTATTATTACAAAATATTTCGAAGCCCCATAATAATTACAAAAACTTTTAAGAAATATAAGACAGGCAAATTCCAAGGCTACTCCATACTGGTTGTAGTAATTAGCTCTTGGCATGCCATGTTGTCCATGATGTTAAAAAGCACGGTGTAAGAGAGAGAGAGAACTCTAAACTAGCAGCCAGCAAATCTGGATTCTAGACTCAACTGTGTCATTAACTCTTGTGGATGACCTTAGGCATCCACTTAGCATGGCTAGGCTTAGGTTTCATTATAGGAAAATGAGGAGATTGTATTACTGCTAGTCATTTCCATCTTTAACATTCTGAGAACCTATTTATTCAGTCACTAAAGCTATGCCATGTATCAACCTGCAGAGTAAAATTCCAACAACCCTAAAAAATCGTCTTATTTATAATTTTATATCCCATATACTTTTAAAATACTTTGAGTTATATTTAAAATATATAAACCAAAACCATTTCAGATAGCCCCAATAAGACACAAAGATAATAGAAAAATGCCCATCTACAACCAAAATCAAGCACCCAAAAGAGATGAACACAGACCACTTAGTAGTATGGTAACCTATTGGAGTTTTATAGAAATAGTTAACCAGGAAATTGTCCCAATGACATTGTAAGGTACACACTTATTTGTATCAAGTGAAGTGACATACAATAACCTAGGCGGAATGTGGTTAGGAATTTGATGTGACCAACTCAGGCTAAGCTAGTGAAAGATGCTCAAAATAACCGTTGTAAGCGTTTCTCTCACCTGGAAAGTAGAATTATGATGGGGAACTGGTTAACTTGGAGAGTACTGTACAAATTAAATTACCTTAGAACAAAACCATTTATGAAAAAATGAATACATCTATAGCCCAGCCATGCTTTGTTAAAATCTACTGAAAACAAGGGAAAACTTTTAAGAAGCTTTAGTGTGAATCAACTGACAGCTAAAAAAGGAGTCTGAGGACCTCAGAAAAATCAAGGACCTTCAACTAGTGAACAAATTCTTGCTTTCCAAAAATTTCTAAGAGCTGTGAGTAGAGTGATGAAAGTTTAAATGAATATGCCCAACAGAGATACACCAGCCAGAATCAAAGTAACCAAACTCACTGCTGTTTGATAGGAAAGAGACAACACATAGTGTAAAAAGATAACCGATACCCAACTCTAGCAAATTTCTAGCAAACTTAAATTATATATAGAAACACAGAGGATGAATTTTATATGTGAATCATATCTCAAAAAAAAAACAAAAAAAAACCACAACAGTATTCACAACACTTAGCAGAAAGTATTTTAAGAGTAGGGTAATAAGATTGAAATTATTTACAGGGAACCTGTAACAAGGGAACCTGTGAACAATTCCTCTTCTCAGCTTTGAAAGCCTTCTACACCCTTTGTATGGCCCCTCTTACCATGTGTCTATCTTCTATAAGAGAAAATTGGTTATCTGATCCTTTTCTAGACTCCTTGAGGACAATTTATTCATCTTGGTGGTGTCATTTCAAGTGCCTAGAACATCATCATGCATTCTGTAGGCAGTTCATTAATTGTTATACATATATCTGAGCAAAACTAGAGGGTCACATCTCAAAAACTTTCATTCGAATACTGCTAACACACTCCAAAAGGTTATCAAATCTTTTTCATTCCTTTCTCTTCAACCAGAAAGATAGTATTTTAACACTTTAAAACATTTCCTTCCCAGCAAACAAAAACAAGCAAAACAAGACTTAAAATCTATACTCTACAATATTTTCCTAACTCACTCTGATAAATTTTAATTGCTGCCTTTTTGTGTAGTACAGTTCCAGAAAAGGTGAAATATAAATAAAGGGTAAATGAATGCAAAAGCTTTGTAGTAACTGCACTAAATAAAACCTGCTCCAAAGATGGTTTATTCCCAATCAAACTTTCTAACAGTTTAAACAGCTCCTCTACCTGGCACAGCACTAGTTCCCTAAATCTTCCTGCTCCAGTCATTGAAGCATGTAAAATCATGAAACAAGAGCCCAAATCTAATAATCAGTAAGTCGAGGTAGGAAAAGAATTAACACTCCAGGAACAATACTTTTCCCTGACCTTCTCTGCCTACTCTATTCCATTTACTATCCCCCATAAGCCTGAAAAATCCTTTATATTAGAATTGTTATTGCAAGCATTTTAATCTTAGAGGAATAGAAAAACGAATCTAAAGCCAAGAACCTTACCTATCATCTATCTAAACTTATTAGTCAACAAGTAACATTTTAACATAATAATAAGAGTCTTTTTGGAGGAAACTAGCATTACTACTTTGAATTCTGTATCTTCTCTATTCTGCTCCCCCACCCAAGAGGTTATTCAGTGATGAACAAGCATCCACCAAGTTATGATGGTTGCAAAACTTTGTGAATATACTAAAAACCACTGAACTGTACATTTTAAAAAGGTGAATTTCATGGTATGTGAATCGTTATCTCAATCATTAAAAAAAAAAAAGAAAGAAAAGCAAATACCTCTCCCAGGCATTCAGCAAAAACCAAACACTACGAAACAGAACATTTCTCTTTAAAATTTAAGTTCCACAATGTGGTGTGCTACATGTTGAAGACAAATCTTCCTGTGAGGACCTACTGAGGACTGCTGGTTTTCTATATTTTTTAACGGCAGAGTTTTGAGAGATGTTAAGGGCAGATGGTGTAAAGACCATTATGCCATTAATTTAAAAGCTCTGGCTGTTATTAAATCCAAGTGCTATGGTCTGAATGTTTATGTCCCGCACCCCCAAATTCTTAAGTTGAAATCCTAACGCCTGAAGCAATGCTATTAGGTGGGGCCATAGGTCATGAGGGTGGAGCCCTCGTGAATGAGATTAGTGCACTTACGAAAAAGGCCCCAGTGGGCTCCCTTCTCTTTTCTGCCATGTGGGGACATAAGTCAACAGTCTAATATCCTGAAGAGGCCCCTCACCCAACCAGGCTGGCACCCTGATCTCAGACTTCCAGCCTCCAGAACTGTGAATTTCTGTTGTTTATTAGCTACTCAGTCTGTAGTTTGTTATAGCAGCCTAAACAGACTAAGACACCAAGTATTCCTGATTAACACTGCTAAACCTTTTTCTAATTAAAAAAAAAAAAAAAAAAAAGACTGAACTAGGTGCAAATTGGAACTTAAAGTAAGTACACTATATAATAGAAAATACTTATTCTAGTACATATAACCCTTGTCTTCTATATTTCCAATTATTTCAGGACCTTTACTTGTAAAGAGCATGCCTTAGCCAATTTACTTGCTCTGTAGAGAGTTGCACTAAAATGAATTACTTAATGGATTCTAGTTAATCATTTCTTTGGAAGCCTGT